TTTTAAAATCTTTCTTCTTTCATAACTCTTCTAATTTCCCTTTTGGATGGTCCTTAGGGCTGCTGTCTCCACTGATCATTTCTGCTGTTTTGCTTTTGAAGGCCTTAATCTCTGTCACTGCATATATCATAATTCCCCCCCAAAGCATTAGGCCCATCCTATATTCATACAGTATGTATTTAAATTATTTTCTTGCTATAAAAGGGAAAGCTCTACAACAGTGTAATTTTTCGAAAGACTTGGAATTAATGTAATATATGTGAAACAGACAAATGAAAAAGAAAACAGAGGAGAAGCCGTAACAACAGCACCAAGGTTAGCTCTGGACAGCTTCAAGTACAGTTACATTGTCGGGATTACACATGAGCTCCCTTCTTCCAGCCTCATGGATAGTTTGCATTTTCAGCATCTTTTTTCAGGTATCAGATTTTCTCCCTTTGGAGGCACCGGGTTACTCTGATCAGGAATAACCAGGCGCGGAGGAAGATTAACTTGCCTCCATTCCCTTGATGATTCTGCTTTGAATAGGAAAATAAATCTCTCTATGGCTAAGCTATTAAGATAGCAATGAATTGGAAGACAACAACCTCGAGCAGAAACAAAAAGAAGGCAGAACAGCATGCAGATGAGCTAATTTCCCCATTCTTGCCTGGCCACAACAACATGGAATAATGCATCATTAAGGACGCCAACATCTCTAGCACATTTAATCTGCACCTTGCTTTCTTCCACAGTCTCCTGAATATGGCAGCAACTGAAAACACGTATGTTCATAAATTATTTTATCTACACAGCTATTAAAATTAAGGGAGCCCTGCTCTGAAGGAAGCCTAGCAACCCTGATTCCCAGGTCTGCTCTTCTGACTGCTTTGTTCAGCCCAATCTAAATGACAGCATAAACTCATATGTAAAAATTGTGTCAATACCCTTCTGCAGGCTCTGCAAAGGCAGGCTGACATGTCAGTTCTGGTTCTCTTTAAAACGATGACACATTTGCCGTCCTCAGTGCCAGAAGAAAACTGGCTGCTATGGTCACCACTTTTACTATGCAGCCTTTAAAGAACTAAAATGGCACCACACAGTTCTTTATACACTTTTGGTTTCTTAGTGATCAAGGCTAAAAAAGAAGTGTTCAAGCCCTTAAATCTTCCCAGAATCATGGAAACAATGTATTGTGAACATCCTAGAGAGACGTCTATTAGCATCAGTTACAATTCTGCAGGTAACTTCAAGTGGTAGCCATGTTGGTCTGCAGCAGAAGAGCTATATTCTGAGTCCAGCAGGACCTTAAAGAGCCAGTTTGGTGTAGTGGTTAGGAGTTGTAACTGGGAGAACCGGGTTTGATTCCCCACTCCTCTGCATGCAGCTGCTGGTGTGACTTTGGGTCAGTCACAATTTCTTTCAAAGCTGTTCTCTCAAGGACAGTTCTCTCTGAGCTCTCTCAGCCCCACCTACCTCACAGGGTGTCTGTTGTGGGGAGGGGAAGGGGAAGGGATTATAAACCGCTCTGAGACTCCTTTGGGTAGTGAAGGGTGGGGTATAAATCCAATCTCTTCTTTTCTCTCTTAAAGATACCTGGCAAAGGGAGCTTTCGGTCTTGAAACCTTATACCCTGAAAATCTTGTTGTTTTTAAGGTGGTACTCAGGGTTGCTAACTCAGGCTTGGGAAGTACCTGGAGATTTGGGGGGGGGTGGAGCCTGAGGATGGCAAGAGTTGGAGAGGAGAGGGGCTTCAATGGGTATAATGCCATAGACTCCACCTTCCAAAGTGGCCATTTTCTCCAGGAGAACTGACCTCTGTTACCTGGAGATCAGTTATGATCGTGGGAAACCTCCAGTCACCACCTGGAGGTTGGCAACCCCAGTGCTACTGGACTCAAATGTCGCCCTTTAACATGCTTTTGGACTCAAATCTTGCAATTCTGCAAGTATGCAGATGCTTCTGCAATCCTACCTTAACCTAAAACTAGGGCATACCTGAAATCCATGTTTTCCCCTCCACCAGGTAGTCAACTCCTTTGGAGGCATGTCGATAACAGATACAATATCCCCCACCTGGAAATGAACAACAAAAAAATCCTTTTCTCAGTATTGTAAGAAAGACCCATCTCTAGATGAAAACACACACACATGCATGCACATTCTACAGCACTGCAAAAAAGCGGCCATCATATCCTTGTGTGATCAGCACTCCTAAAATCTACCATTAAAGAATGAGTTAATGCATCATAAATTCTATACAGTGGAATTTTAAATATATTCATAAAGATCACTTATTCAAAAATAGCTAAAAGGCCAAAAACTTTTCTAATTAAATCGTGAAATGTGGGATTGAGCTAAATAAGGCCCAAAACATAAAAAGGGATGGAAAGATGGGTCTTGAACAAATTAACTCCTTTTTATTTTGTTCTCATTGTCTTTCCCCTGCAGTTCCTCTTCTTCCTATGAAAATAAGGATGACCTTACAAAGACATCCTTTCTCAGTTTGAATGCAGCATGGAAATGCAATGTTACATCAGCAGGATAGAAAGATGAGAGAAGATGTTTAGAGACTCCTTTGAGACCACTTTTCTAACATAAAACATTTAAAGTAGTTTGCACTCGTCTCTTAATGCTTGCAAACGACACCAGCAAACCTCCATCTATGCATGTGAGGCTCTTACTGTTTGCCTTTGGAGTCTTTCAGGCACATTGCATTTGCACTTTCAAGCTTATCTCTGCTACCAGGAGGTCTACAAATGTATTTTTTTAACAACAAAAGCCAAGCATTTCAGGAATTTAATAGGAATTTGTGGGCCATATAAAGTGCTTTACAGAGGGATGCATCTCGATGTGAGCCATATGGTACCCACACAGGAGCTAGGAATTTGTCAAATATGCAGTGGCAGTAATTCACTCAAAGGCTAACATATGCCTAGGATTTTTAAAAAAAATAAAGTTAGAAAATATGGTGTTACTGCAACAGGACCTGATAAATCAGCTACAGGGTTTTTTGTCCAAGCTTTAATTTGCTATCTCTTGATAAGCATTCCAGTGTTCAATTTAACCATCTCTACAGCAAACATAATGGACAAAACGTGATAAGACTTGGGGTTGGTACAGATATAATACCATGAGTTTGTGGGGTCACAAATTCTCTCCTCCCCAGATCCTGAGATAGAATACATATTTCATATGGTTCATGTCCTGCATGTGCTTTTCCATATGTCCTAGTTAATCCTGATTGAGCATTACATCAGCATAAATTTTAATAGTACTAATAGTAGTAGTAGTGGTAGTTAGGATTTTCCGCCATCTTAAGTATTGTATATACTATTTTTATTTATTGTTATTTATTGGACTGTTTTAATGTAGTTGTATGTGACTGTATAACACTGTTGTAAGCTGCCCTGAGCCCTACCTGTAGGGAAGGGCGGCCTAGTAAATCAAATTTAATAAATAAATAAATAAATAAATAAATAATCACGATCAGTGCTAGCCAGGGGTCCTCTCTAATCCAGATTTGAAATCAGAGTTTGAAGCTGATTTGCAAATCCTGACAGGGGAACTAGAGTTATCATTAACCACCATTATCAGTGGTAGTCATGCCGGCCACATGACCACGGAAACGTCTTCGGACAGCGCTGGCTCTTCGGCTTTGAAACGGAGATGAGCACCGCAACCCTAGAGTCGGATTCGACTGGCTTTCGAGCAAGGGAACCTTTACCTTTACCTTTACCTATGTGACTGTATAACGCTGTTGTAAGCTGCCCTGAGCCCTACCTGTAGGGAAGGGAGGGCCTAGTAAATCAAATTTAATAAATAAATAAATAATCACGATCTGTGATAGCCAGGGGTCCTCTGTAACCCAGATTTTAAATCAGAGTTTGAAGCTGATTTGCAAATCCTGACAGGGGAACTAGAGTTATCATTAACCACCATTATCAGTGGGAAGGGCTAAAAACTCATGCTGGAGAAGAAACATGCAATTCCATTGTCCACTCCTGTTAAGAGGGGATCAGCTTTACGTTTGCCTTGGACTTCAGTCGGAGAGTCAAATAAATGGAAATTGATGTTAGTGATACAATGTTTAATGTTCTACTGAAGTATATGCAGAAATATTACTATTCTGTTAATTAAGAGAATTCTTACTCCCAACAATATTCATTTATATTCCCTTGGGATTTTTTTTTTAAATTTCCCCCAAAATAAAAAGATGTGAGTAGAAAAACTCCTGGGAGAGGAGATGTACTTTTGCTAAGGAAACTCACAATATTGCATGTTTGCAACTGTAGCAACAAGACTGGTAAAGTGTTAATTTAATTGCAAGATTTGGGGTCTAATATATTTAAAGGTCACCCATACAATCTGTCTCTGATTACATGACTGAGTTAATGCAGTCACTCACATTTCCAGACATTCAAAATGCCGCAAATTCATATTTAATAGGTGCACATATAGCACTAAGTATTTTTCTTCCTTCTTCAATTCTTTCAATTATTTACCTCAAAGGACAGTTCATCAGCTGCCTGAGCAATATATCTTTTAATAACGTGGGCAGCTGCTATCGCAGGAACATTAATGGACGATTCTTCGTGGACTAGCAGGTGATTCCCCTTGTTATCAATCTGTAACAAAAGATAAAGGAGATTGTGAGACTACTGAGGACATGCAATCTCTTTTTGTTTTATTGGTGTTCGTGTGTAGGAGAGACTTCATGAGAATTCACAGAGACAGCAGAGCCTGGAGGGTTTGCTGTAGAAGGGGGGGGGGGGAATGAAAAAGCACAGCATAGGCACCATATACCTGAGAATGAGAATGATACAACACTAAATTCTAAATAACAGATTACCTTTTCTTCTCTCTGAGAGAGGGGCATATTTTGCTTTAATGAGATGTGCTTTTAAAAGCAACTATCGATCTCTATTACAAATGCAGTTCAACTCCGCCTTGACAGATCTTCTAGCAGCATGGAGAGAGGCAATTCCTTAAAATATTTGTAATTACTTATTATCTAGCCTTAGCCTTTCTACTTAAATGTCCTTCTGAGTCCTGACTATCTGAATACAATAACAATGATAAGTTTTTTTGGGGGGGGGGGCAAGCTGCATACACGGCCACCCAGCATAAGAGACATGGCACTGCTGATGAACTGGGACACAGTCATATTGAGAGAGGGTTTTTCCCCCCTAGTCTATTATGACCCACTTTTAAAAGTTCCACTTCAGTTATTATTGCTGAAGCACGGTCAAAGAGAATGCAGGTCCACTCCTGTCATTCGTGGCCAATTCACAGTTTTATGCAGTTACCAAGAGCTCATTCAGAGCTCCTTGGCTGGCAAACTGAGGTTTATTTCTGTATAATGTGTGAAATGTACAGCTGAGCCAACGTGGGCATGGAATATATTTTGCAATGAACTCTGCCACTCCTTTTTGTTTAGGTGAGTTTTCCAGGGTCAGGGTGATACAGAACAATTTGCCCATGCAGACTGAGGTCAGTAAGCAATGTCAGCACATTGTGATACTCTGCAGCCAAACATGATTTGCTACATGTCAGAAGACTGTTCGGAGGAAGGGAAATGCTTCTGCCCTCAGTCTTATCTGGATTTATGCCAATGTGATGCTATTATGTTGTCTATGTAATTCCTGATTAGCTGAGATCAGTTCAAATAAAGCTCATTTTTTCTGAATGGCACCAGAGGTGAATGAAACAGCTTTGAATAGATTGCAAGTGGGGTGTTCCCATCTCTGGGGGGTGGGGTGTTCCCATCTCTGTAAACTCCCCTTTATCCCTATACTTTGTATTTCCAAAAACTCATTAGAAGCCTAGTGAAATAGCTCTCAAGTATTGCTGAAGGTGGACATACACAGAACTATTCCAACAGCAGTACTGGTAAAATGGAAGATTTGTATTCACTACCGTGAAGCTTCCTTCTTGGTGGTCCAGAGTGGGGCAGTCCTTGACTCCTTACTCCTGGAAAGCATCTCCCCCTTCCGTAGGCAGGGCCGGCAAACTTTGATCCCAGAGGGGAGGGGCTTATCCTCTGATCCCCAGTCATACCGAAAGCCACCTCCGAGCTGCTGTAAATTCACTTTAAAAATATCTCCTTCCCCCTTAGACAACTGGGGAATCCCTTCACAGCCATGGGCTTAACCAAATACAAACCTGTATTTTAACCATTAGAGCAAACAAAACGCAACAGTCCACCCACATTACGTAATCAGTTAGACCATATTCATGAACAAATGAACCACTGCAAAACCTAAAGGACCGGAAGTCATGTCCATCAAGAGAGGGTGGGTTGGACTGCCCCACTCTGGACCACCGAGAAGGAAGCTTCACGGTAAGTGAATACAAATCTTCCATTCTCCAGTGGTCCACAACTTCAGGTGCCTACAGGGCCTGAAGGAGCACTCTGCTGTCAAATACTGCTTCTGCCGAGGCTAGTTTGTCAATCCTGTAGTACTTTGTAAAGGAATGGAAAAATTTCCATGTCACCACCTTACAAGTGACTTCTAGGGACGGCAAGGCCCTATATGCCGCCGATGTGACTGCCCCCCATAGAGTGCCCTGTGACCCCTACTGGAGGTACTAACCCCTACGCCTTGTATGCCTGACTGATCCTTATCCACCTGCTCAGGGCAGAAGTGGAGACAC